AGTGTAATCAAGCCGTCATTATGGAGCAGGAGGCAAACACATATACATCAAACCCGGTAAAGGAACCAGAAATCGCCGGTATATCTCTATCGTTAAGAATACCACCGTTTTGGAGAGACAAACCACGACTTTGGTTCGTCAGTTTTGAAGCCGCAACGAATGGTTTAAAGAAGAGCCAAGCGCAATTAGCACAGATGGTGATAGCCCAACTTGAGAAACAAGACATCGAACAAATTGCGGACCTGTTGTACAACCCACCAGCAGTCGACCAGTATAATTCACTGAAGGATCGTCTGATCTCCGCATATGAAGAATCCGACAGTCGACAGCTACAGAAACTTCTATCAGAAATAGAACTTGGAGACCAGAAACCCACACAACTCCTACGCAAGATGCGTACTTTGGCGCGAGATAAAGTTCCGGATTCAACACTACGGCTAATGTGGGTAAACCACCTACCACCACATATTCGATCGGTAATAGCAGTCAGCGAAACATTCAGCACGCAGACGAAGCTCGACGAACTGGCACTCCTGGCGGACAAGATGATCGAAAACAGCAGTAGCTCACACATATCGATCATCGAAGGCACTTCAACAAAGGCCAATGATACCCAGTTTCTTCTCGAAGAAATTCGGAAGCTATCATTCGAAGTCGCCGCGCTCAAAGCTTCCCAGCATCATACCTTTTACCAGCAACAGTACAACCAGCGCAATCAGCAACACCGAAGATCACCTTTTCGTCGCAACCGCTCTGCAAGTAGAAGTCGAATAAGCTCAACATCAAGATCCCCTTACTGCTACTATCATCGACGTTTCGGGGTCGAGGCAAGAAAATGCACAGCACCGTGTACATTCAAAAATGAAAATACGAATACGGAAAACTAACTAGTACGCTCGATGCGACGGGATCCAGCGTAACAGCAAAGTCCTACCGTCTTTTCGTCACCGATAAAAAAAGCAAGCTTACTTTCCTTATCGACACCGGAGCAAATATCTCAGTGTTACCGCCGAAGCAAGGACAGAAGTTGAAGCCACTAGATTTTCAACTCTATGCGGCAAACAATACGGTTATTCCTACATATGGAGAAAAAACAATGGAACTTGATTTTAATCTACGCCGACCATTCAAATGGAGATTTATCGTCGCTAAAGTCAGCAAACCAATCATCGGTGCTGATTTTCTTCAACATCACCAGTTGGTCGTCGACATCAAAAATAGAAGAATCATCGACGGGAAAACCAATCTTGCATCTCAGTCTTTTGTACAAGCAACCAATCTGCCCACAATCAGAAGCATAGATGTGCAACAAACGTATCACAAGATCCTCGAAGAATACCCTGGTATCACAAGAATAACTTCAATGAAACTAACACCGAAGAACGACGTTGAGCATTTCATCGACACCAATGGACCACCACTTCATTGTCGTGCACGTCCAATCGCACCACACCTATACGAGCAAGTTCGAAAGGAATTCGAAAACATGATTGAGCAAGGAATATGCCGTCCAAGCAAAAGCCCTTGGTCATCACCATTCACATTGTACCGAAGAAGAACGGAGAATTACGAGTTTGTGGAGATTACAGAAGACTGAATTCTATTACCACTCCTGACCGCTACCCAATACCGCGAGTCAGGGATTTCACTCATCAACTATCAGACAAGACTATATTCTCCACCATCGATCTCAACCGAGCTTACCAACAAATAAGAGTCCGCGATGAAGACATAGAGAAGACAGCAATAATTACCCCAATGGGATTATTCGAATTCCCAAGAATGATCCCAGGATTAAAGAACGGAGGTCAAACTTTCCAAAGATTCATACACGAAGTACTTCATGGACTGGATTTCGTTTTCGCATTTATTGATGATCTCCTTGTTGCAAGCCCTGATAAAGAAACGCACGAAACCCATCTACGCACCGTGCTACAGCGATTAGAAGACAACGGAATCACAATCAACCCTTCGAAATGCATATTTGGACAGCAAGAAGTTCAATTTCTTGGTTTCACCGTCAGCAAGGAAGGAATAAAACCGCCTGCCGAAAAAGTCAGAGCAATCATCGATTATGCAAAACCTAAAACTATCGAAGAGCTAAGGCGTTTTCTTGGGATGATAAATTTTTACAGAAAACACATACCTAAAGCCGCTGAAATCCAAGCACCACTTCACGCCTACCTTCACAACACGAAGAAAAAAGATAAAACGTCAATCGAATGGAACGATGAAGCCACGAAGGCATTTGAAGCTTGTAAAATTGCGATCCAAAATGCAGCTTTACTCGCTCACCCATCACACGAAGCAACCCTTGCTATCTTCAGCGACGCATCCGATCTCTCAGCAGGAGCAGTTCTCCAACAATACAGCAATGGGAAATGGCAACCACTTGGATATTTTTCGAAGAAGTTCTCCGATACTCAACGTAACTACAGTACATTCGACCGAGAGCTACTCGCTATTTACATGGCTATCAAGCACTTCAGAAAAACGTTCGAGGGTCGAAACCTGATCGTTTTTACCGACCACAAGCCATTAACATATGTACTTCCAAAGAAACCATCACTATCGGAAACACCACGAAGAGCAAGACAACTTATTTTCATAAGTGAATTCACGACCGACATACGTCACATCAGTGGAAAGGACAACATAGTTGCCGACGCACTCAGTCGCGTACCAATCGACAGTGTAACGTGCCCTACATCAATCGACTATCATAAGATCGCCGCAGCACAAGACAGAGATAGTGACAACATAAAACATCTATCGAAGCAAGGTAACTTGTCCATCAAGCAAGTTACAATGCCAATGACGCATCTACCAATATACTGTGAAGCCTCAACGACAACCATGCGACCATACATACCAGAAGAATGTCGTCGCGAAGTCTTCAATGCACTGCACAACATTAGTCATCCAGGTGTTAGAACAACAAGAAAACTCATCACTGAAAAATTCTTTTGGCCTGCAATGCAAGCGGATGTTGGCAACTGGGCGAAGCAATGCATTCAATGCCAAAAATGCAAAGTTCAAAGGCATACATCAAGTAGTCTAGCTACATTTCCACCCACGGAGAGATTCGAACACTTGCACGTTGACATCGTTGGACCATTACCTACATCACCGCAAGGACATCGTTATCTCGTAACAATGATCGACAGAACAACAAGATGGCCAGAAGCAATACCTACCGATGATACTTCAGCCGAATCCGTCGCGAAGATAATTTATGAAAATTGGATTACTCGTTTCGGATCACCTAAAACCATCACAACGGATCAAGGAAGGAATTTCGAAAGCAACCTATTCCTCAAACTTCTTCAAACTATGGGAATACAGAAGACGCGTACAACAGCATACCATCCTCAGTCAAACGGAATAATCGAACGATGGCATCGTACATTAAAGACTGCACTCAAAACTCGTTTATCTCAACATACAAAGTGGATTGATGAGCTACCTACAGTGCTACTCGGACTACGAGCAACACCGCGTGCAGACACTAGTCTTAGCGCCGCTCAGCTAACCTACGGCTGCAGCATAAGGCTGCCGTGTGACTTCTTCAGTTCAGCAGCGTCAAACAAACAAGAAATGGATTACGATTTCGTAACTAAACTTCGAGAATCAATTAACAAAGCCTTATCGTTGAAATGCACCGAAATGCAATCACACAGAAATAATAAATCAGTATTCATTCACCAAGATTTGAAAACATGCAAGCAAGTTTTTGTAAGAAACGACGCAATGAAAAAACAATTTCAACCTACCTACGATGGACCGTATAAAGTATTAGAGAGAAATAGCAAGACTTTTAAACTACAAATACCCGGAAGGAAATCTACGATTATATCGATCGACCGACTAAAGCCTGCCTATATTATTAACGAGGATACTGCAGAGGATTCATCATCATCATCAAAACCACCAGCGAGGAAGCTTGAAACTTCATCATCTACATCAACCCAGTTGAAACCTATTTTAAAAACTACGAAATACGGGCGAGTCGTCAAGCCTCCGGTACGCTTTCGCTGGGGGGAGAGTGATGTAGCAGCCAGATTAATCAAACCTAAACGGGAATAAATAATATATACTCCGCTGCTACCATAACGCGGAAGGCGAGAATAAATAAAAAAACATTTTATTTCCTAATTATTCTTGGCTACTGAGATACTGCGGACTGTATATAGATAATTTGACGTTCTTATAAAGAAACAAGAAGCAGCCGCAAATATCATTCAGCGCCACACCGACTTCACACGCCGCTATCGTCACGTATCCGTCGACCAATGGTGAGCCGTTTCTTCAACGCCGCAGTTCGTTTCCTCTTGCTGTTCCGGAGCTGTATTCCACACCGCCGCCTCCCGCCGACTACGCGTGCGCACCGATCTGCATGTCTTATATAGCCCGGTCCAGCGACGTAGCTTCGTGAACAACAAACAAGTCTCACGCCGGGAAACGAAACGTAGATAATTGTATATTTTAAATAGTTTTCATTGGTCATAAAATAAGCAATATAATTGGCTAGGCAAAATATTAATTGATACCATTGGCAAATCAATAGTGAGCCAGCCATATAAATATAGGCAAGGTTGATGCAAAATATATTCCATTCCGAATCCCATTCGACAGTACATTCATAAACATCAACAGTAGTTTCATTTCTCCACCTTAAAGAAAACCACTCGGAGTCTGTTAATAGTGGACAGTTCCTCTCCACTATTACATATAGAACCGGAAACCCTTTTTTATTATAAATGAGGCATTACATCTCAGTCCTCAGGGGTGACAATGCATCTGCATTTTGATTCTTAAAATTAAATTTCTTAAAAATTCTTGAAATTAATGTAGACGTCTATTGGCCTCAACGTCCATCAGTTGAACTGTATACTCGTTTGTTACCCTTATTCTCAGAAAATGTTGCCTTAGTAGAATAAACTACATTGTTTTAACTCTATCATGTTCAATTTAAGTAGTGTGTATAATATAACCATATCATGTTCAATTATAAAAACGTAAGGAGGTTATATCGTCGTCAAAAGCCACACCTTTCTTCTTTGAACCTTTTATTAAGACGTCTCTTACGACACCTCACTCGATGAGATTCGATATAGTTTCCAAAGCCACCACAACGCGGCATAGATGTGTAAATATTATTATTAATGAAAATACTTATTAATTATTGAAAATATTTTTGTTACAGATACCAAAATTGGGACGAAAGATCAATCTTTAGCGAGAGAAAATTTAGTGATATCGGTAAGTGTTAATCCTATGAACGTTTACACAAATTAATTAGATCGTCAAGTCAAAGCTTTAGTATTGTTAATATATTTATATAATATATTTAAGAATTATTTATAAATTATAATTCATTTATAATTAATTTATTTCCAATATGCAATTGAATGATAGTAAATTTCTTTATTATTATATTTATAAATATATCTTTACAATGTTTATTTGAACGAGCAGAGCTTACAACAGTGTTTGAACTAAGACAGTAAACTAAAAAAATATAAGGAAATCGTTTCCCCTGTTCTAGGGCTCTTAAACAAATTTATCGAGAAAGAATGGAGTATTGCACAAAACACATATACAGTCAAAATTCTCTATATAATTTCAAACTCGTTAAGAAGAGGGAGACGAAGAGAGAGATAGAGAGAGAGAGAGAGAACAGGCGTTAAAATAAAGTGTTTCTCATGTAATGTAAGGCAAAAAACACTCTAGGGAGTTTATATATGGAGTGGTGGTGGAGGAGTGATAATTTTTCGCTAGCTTTTAAAGTGACTGCCGCGAATGCGCCATGACGAAGTATCCACTCGACGTACGCTAAATTTCACAACAACATGAAAATTAAAGGGTGTTTCATTTGAACCGTACTCGGAAAACGTATCTCATTATGTACGATGGAATAAATTGGAGACGGATTATTTGTCAAATACTTGGATCCGAACGCGCCCAATCCGTTTCGATTCAATCTGCCCTAAATTAAATTGCAATCGAAACGGTTGAGTGACATAAAACCCGCTTGTGGAGATAATGCCTTATGACGTTGACAATTTCGAGTCGACGCTTTGATTTGATTAAAAAAATAATTCCACGACGAATTTTCAATATCGGAATAAGTGTACCGTTGAGGAATTTAAATATTTTTATTTATTATTATTATTCTAATTTCAGTAAAAGATCATTTCAGAACTTATTTCCTGAAATTAAATTTATGTGCAATATAGACAACATTAAAAAGCTAAAAACTTTAATTATCATAACTCTTCCCTACACGGTAAAGTTTCAAGACCAAGAACGGTTTCTGCGCTCGCTAATCACAAATTATCCGTGTATCTTCATCATCGTATTAATTATCTCAACATACCGTACAATTATAACTATTAATTCCCGATTAATTTCATTGTTGAATTATTTATTAATAACCTTAAATAAGAGCAAGGATAATACATCAAGTAATGGCGGCATATTTGTACTTGTTCTAAGAGATGACAGAAGGAAATAAAACAAGACCAAAATAATTAAAAACTGCAGATGCCAAGCCGTCTGCCAAGCCTGGCACCTGTGAGAAAGGAACATGGGAGATCTGTATGTTCAACAGTTGATAATTGATAGACTGGAACGAGTTAATGATTAATAATTGAAATTCTACTTTTATGGATTTTATCGCGTTTAATTTTAATTTCAATTATTTCTATTTTTAATTACCGACGTTTCCCATGGTCATGGGGGACCGATGTACTGACGTCCCTGTGTCATTGTTAAACCCGGAGTACCATCAGCTTTTTTTTAAATAAAAAAAATTAAAATTAAACGCGATAAAATCCGTAAAAGTAGTTTTAATCAACGTGTAGTGTTCGCGTAAACATAAGAAATGATTAATTAAAATTCTATTAAAATTATGAGAGGTCTAATAACTGCCATCCATCAGGCAGATATATTTTTTTTAAATATACATAATATATCAAAAATATAATCATTAATTTAGGTCTATTTCTAATATATGCATGAAATTAGTTACAGCCTGTATACTTCCGATCGCTGGGCACTGGCCTCCTCTTATTTCTGATGAGTTTTTGGAGCATTTAGACCGTCGTTCTGCTTAAGTGCGTCTATGTCTATATCTATGTCATGGAAGACGGCTTTCGTCCACCCGATCCCTAAAAAAGGCGACCGCTCAGACCCGTACAACTGCCGGCCTATCGCCATCACCTCCTTGTTCTCCAAAACAATGGAGTCCATTGTAAACTGCCAGCTCATGAGGTACCTTGAGGATCGCCAGCTGATTAGTGAGAGCCAATACGGTTTTCGCCGTGGTCGGTCAGCTGGTGATCTTCTGGTCTACCTAACTCACAGATGGGCGGAGGCAGTAGAGTCCAAGGGGGAGGCATTGGCCGTTAGTTTGGACATTGCGAAGGCCTTCGATCGGGTTTGGCATAAAGCGCTTCTTTCGAAGCTCCCTTCCTATGGGCTTCTCGAGAAATTGTGGGATTGGATCACCAGCTTTCTTGCAGATCGGAGCATCAAGGTCATTGTAAACGGTGCAAGCTCCGATTGCAAGCCAATTAATGCTGGTGTTCCACAAGGCTGCGTGCTATCGCCAACGCTGTTTCTTCTGCATATCAATGATATGTTGCAAACCCGTAACATTCATTGCTATGCAGATGACAGCACTGGTGATGCATTGCATGCATTGATGATTGCATTTTCTTTCGCATATACCATGGAGCGTGCTCTGAGGAATTGTTCGGATTAATCCCAGCCGCCAAATTTTGTGAACGCACTACGCGGGAAACGTCCCGATACCATCCACACCATCTGGATGCTTGGCAGTCTACGACTGTACGTTTCGAGAGGAGTTTTCTTCCGCGTACAACCTCTCTGTGGAATAGTTTACCACAGGCAATTTTTCCGGACCGATACGACCTGGGGACCTTCAAGAAAAGAGCGTACTCCTTTCTAAAGGGCCGGCAACGCACCTGCAATTCCCCTGGTGTTGCGGTTGATCGTGGGCGGCGGTAGTCACTTAAGATCAGGTGAGGCGCATGCTCGTTTGCCCCCTCTTATATAAAAAATGTGAAGTTGGATGGGAGATTCCCGATAGGCTGCTTTCATGTTTTCAATTTGTATCTTATATTTCAACCAAACTTACTGTGGCTCTAATACATATATACACATTTTATAATTTTCGTGCACCCAAATCTAGGAGTTAAAAATTAAAAAAAGTATTATTAAACATTAGAGTGATATTATGAGATGTGTTTCATTTAATACTATAGCTTCTATGCATTTTCGCTTGTCAAGAGTTAGTCCAAGTCATCACAAGCCTTAACTCTTAAAAACCGACATTCGCCCCACACTGGGGCTTTTAAAGGTATTCTATGTTCTGTTCCATGACATAATCTATGTCATTTTTTAATTTATTTTAATTACGCTATTAGATAAGATCTACAGATCTGTATAAAAACTTTATTTTACAAATATTAGCCGTTGCATAGCAACTACTTTTTCGAAACCGCCTTAAAACTTTTACATTCATTACACCGACGATATTTTTTCATAAAGTTTTAAAGTTTTTGTACGCTTCGTAAGTGCTTTCAGAGTCGACCGAGAGAATCTTCAGAATTTAACGAACATTACGAATCTTGTTAAAAACTCTTTGAATACTAATTTGAGCTTAGTTAATTACATTTAATAAATTCTTTGAATATAATTTTATATTTATATTCATAAAGAAGTCAAACACAAACGAAAAGAGTTTAACCAACATACGTATACGTTAAATGATTGCGCCAACAGTTTTTAAAAACGTATATTACTTACACTATTACAATAAACACTTTTATGCGACGTAAACAAAACTTTGAAACGATTGAATGTTAAATAATAATTTGTTTTATCTATTAATACGGTGGCGCCTTGGTTAAAATCGGTGGCTTTAAATTCTGCCAGAAATCAAAAACTAACAACAGGGCAAAGCCACAGGAGTATACCGCTTGCTACTGCACGCTAAATCAGTAAAGGCACTTCCTTGTATGTAATTTAATGCTTATGCGCCTTAAAATCGCAGGTAGAATTCTAAATTAGAAAGATGGGAACAACCACAACGATAAGACAGTAACCTAACTGTTAAAAGTATGGACTGCGAAACAAAAATCGTGAGTTCTAAGACATTCAACTACTTGCACCACTCCTAAGGCTACATCCGTATTTGATGATCTTGGCGTATCTTTATCAAGTGTATTGTATCGAGTATAACTTAAGAATAACGATGCAAATTATTATTATATATTATTATATATTATTATAGATTGAAGAACTGACCATATTGTAACATAAGACGTATCGTATCAAAAAGTAATGGTATTAATAATGTTACGAAAACAATAAAACAATAACATCATGGTGGTTCTGAGATGGAATCCCATACAAAGTTAAAAGAGCACGATATGAACTACATCCGTTTTATTTGCCAATTGACTTAATTGAATTGATTGAAATACCAGCTGGTATAACTATCTCAATGGCCAGATGGCATACAGCTATCTACACCAGGCTTAAGATATTAAAGTTCGCTTCAGAAGCCCTCGGATTGATTAAGAATAAATTACAAATTTTAACAAGCACCATAACTAGACACTACTGCTTAAAAAGCGCATGCTTATTCTGGGACTCAATTCTCTTTGCAGATTCCCGCTGAAAGCGGGCCCCTAATGGGCAAACTTAGCCATCCATCTGGGTTATTACTAAGCTCAGAGGAAGTAAAACACTTCACAGCTGAGCGAATGCAGCTATTGATTGAAATTATATAATATAATATAATAATAGTACTTCTTGTACTATTATTTATTCTGTGGTAGTAGTAGTATAATAAATTAATATAATAATAGTACTTCTTGTACTATTATTTATTCTGTGGTAGTAGTAGTATAATAAATTAATATAATAATAGTACTTCTTGTACTATTTTTATTCTGTGGTAGTAGTAGTATAATAATTAATAAATAATAGTACTTTTGTATTATTTATATGTGTAGTAATATAATAAATTAATATAATAATAGTACTTCTTGTACTATTATTTATTCTGTGGTAGTAGTAATATAATATAATATAATAATAGTACTTCTTGTACTATTATTTATTCTGTGGTAGTATTGGCTTTAAGATATTCAGGTCCTTATAAGAAATAGTTTCTCACACACACACTAAAACAAACATAATAAAAGGATTATAAAGACTGTACTGAAGATCTGTTACTTAATACACTGTATACGTGGCTGACGATGCGCCAGTGCGGAGATATTTCCAAATTCTTAATGTTACCCATTTTCTCAATCTCCGTACTTCATACATCTTATTACTCTCTACTCTCTTCCACTATTCCTGGTATGTTTCAAACTCTTTCATTGTTCCATCTCCGTTTTGGAACAAATTGTCTGTATGTTGGTGAAGAATTCGCCAAAATGTCCTTAAGAGAAAATTTATATACATATCCGTAGCCTACAAAACTCATTTCGCTTGCTGTATATATAACTATAAATATAAACATACACAATTAATATAACAAATATGTGTATAAATATATATAGCTGGTAGAGAAAGCCGTATAGCATAAAGCTCACGTTTATACAGTATTTTGTTGCAATAAAGTATAAAATGAAATAAGTAAAAACAATGTACATAAATGTCCTGAAATGAACGTAAAAATGTATATAAGAAAAATACACTGTAACACGGATTCTTGTTCCCAGGTAATAGAAAAATACACACGCTGTGTATCTGCACACGACGTCTAAATGGGATCGAGGAAACCATATCGCAAAGGTAACTAACTGTTCTTTGTGAAAGCAATTTCGCTATTTTCCTCAACGTTACTGTTTGTACAATATATCACAATGAAATGTTCCGGTACACAATTTTTAAATGCTGACTAAAACTTTCCTTATTTACAGCTCAAGTTCGACCATTAAAGTCAGCAGAGTTGTAGGTGCACCTCAAAATATGAGTAAGTATTGAGACACAGTGGTATTTTTTTTTAATTTAAACAAATAAATACAATTAAAGTGTCTGTTTGTAATGTCAAAGTAACAGCTTATTACTAAATCAGTATATAATTTATGGACCAAATTGGCGATATATTGAAAATAGGTCAAATCAAGAGTACCCTTAACCGACGAGCATGTATGCGTTAGGTATATGGATGTGGAGGAGGCGAGAAAGGTGTGTCAGGATCGTTCCAAATGGAAGTTCGTAGTCTCTGCCTACGCCTCTGGGTGACAGGCGTGAGTGCTTATGTATTATAGAGTAATTTAGGTACGCAAAAAAAACCTAAATAACACGCGGGTTAGTAGTAGTTAGTCGTGTTCCCCGCCAGTAATAAATATGAATTGAAAAAAAAAACAGGCGTAATAATTTTTTATATTCAAACATAATTATTTCTGAATTAATACTAAATTAATGTATATTTTTCTTTGTGTGATTTTGGTGTGGAAGTGTGATGACTTACTTTACTTGGCGGTAAAGGTAAACATCGTGAGTATACCTGCGTGTATAAAGAAATAAATATATTACGAGGATATGTGTGACAACACGCACTGGAGTTTTGCGGAAGTCTAAGTCTCTCTATGACCCTTTCAAATATTAGGAAATGCCCGTGCACATTGTGGAACAAGATAGAGCTAATCTGCAGCTATATTATAGTTGTAGTACGAATTGTTTGCTCAACCGGGACCACGGTCTCACAGAATAAAAGCGTAAAGTAGCAGCGTAATGCTGCTGTGTTTTGTATGGTGAGTGTAGAGAACCGGAGACCCTTTTACTGGAATCGAGACATTCCATCTTGGTCCTCAGGGGTGACAAGGCATTTGCATTTTGATTCTTAATTGAGGATAAATGTGGATGTCTATGGGCCACAGCATTCACTTACCATCAGGTGGACTGTGTGCTCGTTTGCATCGTTATTCTAAAAAAACCTATCACATTTCTACTCCTTCCTACATTTGCCTCTTATAAAGTTACAGCCTACATATATACGTATTATATAGAGGTCAAGGAAATGACCGCCACGCTACCTCATGGCGTGTTAGCGGATTTCACAAATATTCGATTTTTTTTTTGGTACAGGTCCTCACGATGTTTTGCTTCACCATTGAGCAAGTGGTAAATCAGCACTTAAAATTGATATTAACAATTTCATTGGTGCCGGCGAGAATCGAAACCGTATTGTGCGCGTTGTGTGCAAGTTGCGGCCAGCGCTTAGCCTCTGAGCTATTGCGGTTCTATGGGCCTCACGTAAAAGGGGAAGTTTGCTAGAACCGACGTGCTTGGAATGTGGATTGGTGATCACAGTAACAGATGTCTAGCACTCTTGATGCTGCTCTCCTTCAACAGTCCAGGTTATATACGAGATAGTTATACCATCATCTATTAGAGGCTATAAGTTCAATGAGGGATATAAGATGATGTCGTACGCCGCATTCACTGGGCATAATTAAGACTAATTTGGGCTAGTAAAAAACCGTTCTTCGTTGAAAGGCCTTTATATAAAAGATCCAGAAGGTTCAGGCCTTTTGAATCCCAAGATTTCGTTTGCCACTCCTTTATTTGACACCACTTATGAACCATTTATGCCCATCGGTTGTCGCTAACACGAGCTGGTTTTTATCATACATACTCCTAAAAACCTGTAAATTTTTAATAAAAATTATTGTATTTTAAACTCCCCGTGGTTTTATCGTAATCAAATGAATGGTATAACAGTGCATAGAAGACAAACAAACAAGCAAAGAAATAATTATTTTTTGTAAAATATCTTCGCCGGCCGGTACGTAAGAACATACCAAACGTTCACGGATCGTATCGCATGAATAATATAAGAATACGTAGAAGACGATCTTATATACATTTAAATACTTAAAAAATAAATATATTACATTTAAAATTAACGTAAATACAAAATATCATTAATCGTTAAGCAATTATATAAATAAATACTAACCATTTTACCGTGTAACGAATTAGCGAAAAGATCAAAAGTTTTCTTCTTCCTTAAAACGCTTTGACGGTACTGAAGGAGAACAACAAGAAAACATTTTTCTTTTACTGTCATACAATTTCCTTTTTTATAGGATAGGTGTGACAAACGAGCACACAGTCCACCTGATGATAAGTGGATGCTGTGGCCCATAGACATTTACATTTAACCTCGCTTAAGAATCAAAATGCAGATGCATTGTCACCCTTGAGGACTAAGATGGAATGCCCTGATTCCTGTAAAACGGGTCTCCGGTTCTCTACACTCACCATACGAAACACAGCAGCGTTAAGCTGCTATTTAACGCTGGTATTCTCTGAGAGCGTGGTCCTTTCCCGGTCGAGCCGACCCATTCATGCTACAACCATAATAACTGCAGTGTAGCTCTCCGACTTTTAAACAATTTATATTCCGACTATATCGGCTACCGAAAATAATGCAATATTTAATTTTACTTGGAATTTTTTAATAGAACAAGCGGAAAAAAGTTATAAGTTATCTGCGTGCCAGAATAAATAGCGGTTGTTTGCCCATACGTTACGAGAAAATAACAATCTTCCATTTATCCAGTGGGAAAAATACGACAAATTACTGGCCTAATTCGTTCCATTACGCCCTAATGTCGGTTAATAAAACATTTTGTTTGTGCGCCATCAAACACAATAGCCAACATCGAACCGCCCTAACGTTAGCAGGGTCCTAGCAATTTTACTTCACTTTGTCTCCATTTCGCCCTCTTTTACTGGTCAAATAGAAAATGGAGGAAGCAAACTGAAATGTTTGCTATTTCGCCATTCTTTACAACACACCTAAGATAGAATATTAGTGTGAGAATTCCAAAGAGCATGAATAAAGAAAACTAAATTATCTTTAATATTTTCTGCAATTTAATAAATTATTTTCCATTATATGATAAGATGCCAGGAAATCTATATGGCTCGTAGGAAAAAGAGATGAAAAACTTTGCAATTGTAATGTTCGCGAGGAAAACACGTCACAGGCTCACTTATCGCACTATTGGACTTCCCACTTATCATCTGTAGTTAACGGTCTGTTCGTAAAATAGCTCTAAAATATGTTCAAAAAAGTCCAATAAATTTTGTGCCAATTTAAAAAAAATCTCACATCACATAAATGGATTCCTTTTATTAATTATGTATAAGAACTTCGTAATAGTATTCACAGCTGATCGTGTGAAATTCTTTATTTAATGAAAGAAAAGGTGTTATACTTGTTACTTCTATCTGACGCCTCATAAAAGTTTTAACCAAGTTCTTATAAAGAAGACCGGTAGGTTATTGCAATTAAACTATTAGGTAAAAAATAATAAAAAAAACGTTACGTATAATATATTATTTTACTTTAGAACAGAAAACAATTTGCTTGTATCAATGTTTCACTCGCAAGGATACAAACCTTTCATTTCCTTTCCGTTTATGAGTTTCTACGCCTGTCAAAGGGGAACATATTGCGCTCTCGAGCTCGTATTTGAGAAACAAGAGCGTAATTCCCGCAGGTTTTGTCTTGCGGCAACATACGTTGCAGAGTGGAAAGATGCAAAACCGTCCATTGCAATTTTAAAACTTTCACATCCCACTGTCCAGTGAGAAAAAGGAAAAATTATGCAGTTTGACCAAGAGAATGGAATTTTAAATCTCACTTGTTATCCTGCTCGTGGAACATTCAAACAGTAAGTGAAATTCGAGTTGAGCGCCAACTATTCCGATCACGTGATTTTCTTTACACTGATTTCGCTTGGGGCATTCGCGAATACTAACGTTTTCGCAGCGATTAACTTGAATTTTTCTCTAGAGATTTCATGACAAAAAGTTAAGCCACTTGAGATATTGAAGTTTGCTCAATTTTCTTTTGTTATTATTCTTCAGCTAGAATATGCATTACTTGATGTCAAATTTTAAAGTATTTTATGAATTTTGAAAGATTTTGATATACATCATTAAAACAATTTAAAAAAAGTGGTTTTATGTTAAAAAAATAGTTTATATAATCTAAAGAAACACGCTAAAGATAAAATTAATTTTTTTTCTGGTAATCCTGTTCAGGATACTAGAATAAATTTATTAAAATTTTGTATTGCCATGTTTATTTATGTCATACGATTGCAAATTTTTAAGTCAATCTGCAGTCTAAAAGTTGGTGAAAATAACATTAAAAGATTCCGATACATGGATAGATAGATACACGCGAATCTAATAAAGCGTGTTAATAAACCTTCATAATAACTTCTCTACTTTCATGGCACTAAAAATTAAATAACTTAATGACAATGAAGAAATATGCAAAAAAGTTATCGGATATATAAAACTGTTCCTTGGAAATCCTGCGACAGTGTTTGCAGTGTGTAAAATTTTTGATATTTGCGCTACAATCTAACCTATTCCCATTGTGACGCTGTGATTTAAAAAGCTAGGCTGTAAATAATATATTAACTGCCTTGTCTTAAACAAACAACTATTCCTACCGTTCCTGTGTACTCAGGAACAGTGCAGACACAAAGTCGCATTCCACTGCATTTACTGTGCTTTGAGGGGATGAGACATTGCAGTTCATTCTTGCATTTAAAAGGAAAACTGTAATTTTGCAGGCCTTTGTCTAGACCCCGCGCGGAACGGCGCGGCGGCTTGTAGCAAAATATGCGCATTCAGAACTGCGTTTTTTATATTTTTCAAATGCTACGATTAAACTATGACTGCGTAGTGCATGAGTAGACAATAACAGTGCAATTATTAGTGAATAGTTTACAAACAAATTTCTCTAACGCCACATTTTACGAAATTTATTTCCCAACGCATTGTGCTAGGCGTGGAGTTTTATTTCGGGCTGAAAATCGTTTAAATATCGTACGGCCTTATTCGGATAAAGCTTGACTAGGTCACTGCACTCTTGGAAAGTTCAGTGTATTGATTTTATTGCGCACGCCCAAAAATATAAATGGGATTTACCGCTGCACTAAAATGCTACTTGATACAATTTTTTTTACGCTCTAAATGGAATGTTGACGAAATCGACAAAAGCTAATAATTTAAAGTTTTCATTCAGTTTTAAATAGAAATCTTTGTTTGTATATAGGTACTACACAATAAAAAGAGTTCAAAAGAACGCTGACAGAACCATACTATTATTCATTTTGTTTTGAACGTAGCACTTTTAAATTTTTTTCTTCTTATTTGGTCCGAAAATTCTGCCGTTGAACCAGTTACGTTTTAAAGAGAACTTAGAACTGATGATATGCGATGATTCGTCATAAAAGTCATTTAAATATCATAAGGTTTATTTAGTCGAAAGGTTGACGTTAAAATGTTTTTCAATTTATTAGCAAACTACTATAATTTTGAGTTAATATTTGGTTACCTTAATGCTATGTAAAATTGAACGTGGATCAAATCTAGGGATGCTACGCAACAGGCCGGTAGATAAACTTACCACTAAGCCTCCAGGTTACCATAGGTCATCAAACCGGAGATACTTAAACTCAATGCTACCCATACCCAGAAACCGGGCGGGTCGCTAGCTTAAACATATTTATGATTCCCTACCTTTAGAAAATGCTTTGCTGCTTGTTTGTACCCACATAATTGTAAGTTTTTTTAAAGGTGTATGCCCAGATATCTCCTGGGCATGAGCCTCTCACAGCTAGCTTAAACATATTTTTGATTTCCCATTTTTAGAATGCTTGGCCGCTTATTTATACCCCCATAATTGTAAGTTTTTTTTAAAGGTGTATTCATCATCATTATCACCAATAGCCCGTAAGAGATATTTCCTGGACATGAGCTTCTCACATTTTCTCTGCTTGCCTTAATTGACACGTGAATTGGCGGTGGTAGTTCAAAACGTCTGGTGGGTCTGGGCGTTTAAGATCCGGGTATTTCTCGCCTGGTGTATATTAGCTGGTAAAACTTTCAACTGGCATCATTCTAACATCTTCCATAGACACTCTTACGATAGTAAATCATATTAATAGTTATTTTGCAACCATCCGCTTAATTAAATTAGTACCATCTAGTAGTGGTGTTGGGAGTAGTGGTGTTGGGAGTAGTTGAGCTGGGATTGGTGGTGACGGAATTCGTGCACGCAATTGAGGGAGGACGGGAGGTGCTCTTCAAACTAGGTAAGACACATTATTTTATTTAGCGGACGGTTGCAAAGTAACTATTAATATCATTTATTATAATGGATTTCCGCAAAGTAACGCCTGATTCTATCAATACTCTTACGCTACTCAAAATGCAATGTATTTGTGTTAATTAAAGACGACATAATTTTTTTTAATGCATATTTACACTTATAATTTTATGTACAAGAAAATAACTTATGCTTTCCCTTTTAGGTCTTATCAAAAGGAAATCAAGGCAGAAGAGAAACGCTTATGTAAACTTTCCCGTTGCAAAGTCTTTAAACAAAAGGTAAGTAAACATTCTAAATGATAGTTTTAGGTTTTCTAAAGTGGAAGCTGCTAAAGCGGAATAAAGACAATATTTTGTCTATCTTAATAAAAAATTCAAAAGAGAGAATATGACTATTTTTCCTTGCAAGAAATTGTCCCAATTCCGGAAATATTAGTAATCTGTTGGAGCAAGGTTTAGGGAGTATAGTGGGTGTCAAAGACATTCTAATCGCAGTTCTTCTAATTTCGCGACCGTCTATTGTGCAGTGTGTGGTCTTGCGCTGTCCTCAAACAGCAGTTAGCTAGAGCAATTGACCAGTCTCAGTTGTTTAACAGCTAGCTTTTCCATCATGGCTTGCAATTGTTTACTGTGCAGGTCTATCGTAATCGTCTGGCCAGATCTTAGAAAACTATAGTGGATGACACCAGCACTGGTACAACAAACACCTTGGATGGTTCTCCTGGGTTCGACCATTGCGATGAGCATTTCTGATTTTCGTGCAGGATCTATTTTTCATCACAAGTAACGATACCATTCAAAGTCCCCTCGTTATTTCGATGGTTGAGTAATTTGACGCAGTACTCGAAGCGTGTTTGTTGGTGTGCTTCAATAATTTCATGCAGTACACATTTTTCGAACTTTTTCTCTTTTCCAATGTGTTGCAAGTGAATTAAAATAATTTTATCACACATCGAAGTTTGAGTCTAACTCTGACGTTGTTTGCGATGGATCCGTTTTCACGATCACTTTTAATTCTTAATGTTTATCAACTACGGTGTCCGGCCGTCTAGGGATTTGTTCTGTCGCTCAAAATTTCCGGAACAAAAATGTTGGAACCAAAAACGTGTCATGTTTTCTTTTACTGTACCTTCCCCATATACATCATTAATGCTTCGAGTTGTTTCTGCAGCGCTGGTGCTACGGTTGAATTCGTATTCGTAAATTACGCGATATTTTAAGTTTCTCATATCGTGAATAGAACGATGTCAAAGAAAATTATACGATGCAAAAACATACTACATAAGCTTAAATCTTCTTCTTTATTTATATATAAGAATCAATTGATGTCCGTTAGTCGCGCTGAAACTCGATAACGGCTCGAACGATCTTGATGAATTTTTGTGTGTATTTAAGTGGGTCCCTGGATGGTTTAAAAACTTAATTGGACCCGGTAGGTGGCACTGTTTTCGAGATACAGAAATCAACCGTGTGAAGCCGGGGCAGATCGTTAGTTTGAAGTAAATTTGAGCTTAGTACTTCTAACCAAACCATTTGAGATTAAAGCGGCCAGATTGACAAAAAGCCAATTTCATATGTTTATTATCATTGACGGCTCCGTGGCGCAGTGGATTAGCAAACAGTTACAGCGCTGAAGGCCTAGGGTTCGAATCACGCACGGAACAAATATTTGTATGGCCTACAATTAATTGTTCCGGGTCTGGATATTTGTCCTTGTGAAATTTATGTTTGTAAACTGCCCCCACGATACAGGAGAAAATCCTAGAGGAGGTAACGTTTTAAAAAAAATAAGAATGAATAAAAGAATATGTAAACAACTAATATTTTAGTCCTCTAATATCATCCATATTATATACAAAAACACAAGACTGCGGTGGTCGCGTAAAATAACTTAAAATTATTCAGTATGATTAGAATGTTTGCTTGTGTAAAATTACTTAAAATGAAATAAATATGTACGTATTCCGCCCATTATGTTTCACAAAGAAACGAAAAACAACACAAAAAAGTTTCAACAAGAAAACTTTGTCATCATTTATACGAAAGATAATGCTATATAATTAAGCACTCTATAACTTTTATCTTAGCTCACAATATGCTGTGTATCAACCACACCGACGCCTTAGTTACGTAATTACCTCAGGCTCAGACGCTCGACGCCGCTGGGGCGACGACCCCGACTCGACTTTGACCCAATTCTTACTTTAATTTCGTGTCTCACCTGTAGACAACATTACCTACAAAAGTAAGTACCAGATTTGAGAGGCGCCTGTTGTACATTCTTGCTGTTATACATTTTGAATTTAGAAGAGCATCAATCAATTTAATTAATTATAAATAAAATTGACACATACACCTACATATTTCCTTGTTATATTTATTTTTATTTTCATGTAAAAGCACAGAGTACATAATAACACATATTCATCAGAGCTTATTAATTAATGTCAACAGCAAAGTGCTAAAACTTTTATAGCTTTAAATTTTAAATACACGAATGGGTTTATTCACCAAAAACGTTCAAATTTTAATTCAATTTATTTTGTATTTAATTAATTTTTATTGTTACGTCATAACAGCTTTAATGATAATAAAAAAACTTACACTGACGGAGAGCTTTTTTGCCTTGGTGACCGTCTTGGTTGAGAAGAGGGTAAAATTGCTTAACTATTTCTGCTAAACAGCAATGCACTACTGTCATGTTCCATATTAAGAAGCAATATGATTACAGGCTTTGGGGCATTTCATCTTATTTCTCGGGGGTAAAAATGCTCTTTTTCCCTTTTTTGTTTCAATTTGGTTACAGGTTAACATAGATACAGTAGACACATACCACAAGATGGAATGTTTTAAGCTGAACGCTTTTGCCTGTCAAATATAAAAAAACAATGCTTGTTCTGTAATGATATATTACACTGTTGTAGCACGAATGGGTTGGCTCGACCGGGGAAGGACCACGCTCTCACAGAATACCAATATTAGCTATTTAGATTATGGGAGCTATCCTAGGCAGAAGACGGAATTACGAATCCAGTACAAATTCATCGCCCAAGTGCGCATTTATTATACAGACACTTACAGTAGCAATTACAGGAAAATCACAACATAACTAGACCCCAAAATATGTACATAATTTGGTTCACAAGTGTCTCTTGACTTGAATCCGCCTATGATTGGAACCTAGTATCACTAGACCGTGAGGTTGTCAAAAAGTATCTTAAGATCAAGAATTTAAAGTAAAATCCTGACGTTTTAGACAGCATCCTACTATATAAATAACGTCTAATAATTCTAAAATATATGAGTATAATATAATTGCTTCACTGAAAAGCTCATATTTTACAACTTTGAGATCTACTTCAAATGTATCCGGTACAATGTTTTCTTTCCATTACCTATGATTTGAAACGTTCGCAAAGGGTTGAATAAAATGACATTATAAGCTCAAAGGGTAGAGGCAGCGTTTTCATAACGAAATATTTTTGTTCATTATTTTTAGACCCTTTTTTAATTATACTGTACCTTAATGCGAAGCAAAAACATAACAGACGATGCTTGTGTTTTTTTTTTTTAGGATAAGGGTGACAAACGAGCACACAGTCCACTTGATGGTAAGCGGATGCTGTGGCCCGTCATCATCATCATCATTACAGCCCTTCACAAGTCCACTGCTGAACATAGGCCTCCTCCAAGTAACACCATAAAGCACGGTCCTGAGCCACCTGCATCCATCGACTTCCTGCATGTCTTACCAGGTCGTCACTACATCTAGTGCGGGGTCGCCCTACACTACGCCTACCAGTACGAGGCTGCCACTCGAGAACCTTTCTTCCCCATCAGTTATTCGTTCTTCGAGCTATATGGCCAGCCCATTGCCACTTCAGCTTACTAATCCGTTGGGCTATGTCGGTCACTCTGGTTTTACTGCGCATATTCGCATTTCTGAGTCTACCACGCAGAGAAACTCCGAGCATAGCCCTCTCCATAGCTCGCTGAGCGACCTTGAGCGTCCTCATACGGCCAGCAGTGAAGGACCACGTCTCAGATGCGTAAGACATCACTGGCAACACGCACTGGTTGTACACTTTAATTTACAGAGATTGAGGTATACCTGACGAGAAGATGTGTCGTAATTTCCCGAACGCTGCCCAGCCGAGTCGAACGCTGCCCAGCCGAGTGTGGCCCGTATATATCTACATTTAACCTCGATTAAGAATCAAACTGCAGATGCGTTATCACCCTTGAAGACTAAGATGGAATGCCTCGATTCCAGTAAAACGGGTCTCCAGTTTTATACCCACTATACGATATACAACAGCGTTAAGCTGCTGTGTCCCCTCGGTATATTCCCGGTCGAGCGGGCCCATTCCTGATACAACCATAATATAACTGCAGCGTGGGCCTACCACGTATAAAAAGTTTTCTAAATAGATGTAGCTTTTTTGCCGTGCGATAGCTTCGTAGAAGAATCTTTTACCTTTGTTCACCTCACAAATGTCGTAAGAAGAGATTATCAAAACTTTAATTCAAATAATTTCGTTCGTTCTTTCAATAGGAAGGATTTTAGGTTGGGCTCGATTGGTTTTTATTATTATTAAATTCTTTATTTAAAAAGCTTAATCTAATCATCTAAAACATTTATTTGAATTGATTTAAAAAAAATCGTTATTCAAATATCGTCACCTCGGATTATAAAGCTATAAAAAGTTTTCGCGCGCAGACGCCGTCGGTATCTGCTTCGCTAACTTTGTCATGTTTAAGTGTCAGAGCACAAAACTTTTCGCATTAACAAACAGCTTACGTCGCTAATTTCACTTCAGCTGGGACTTTGTTTTATTTACTGCGGATTTACTCTCATACAACTCGCTTGTATCTATTTGTATCGAAAGATTTACATTTATATTTTACATGTTTATATCATTGCGTGTATACTATATGGGATGGTACTGTGGCCGTGAAAGGAAAAGGGGAGATCTCCCGCCGGGCAAGGTGTTCTGCCCGGGGAGCGGCCAAAACTCCGTGTGATAGTTCGAAGATGTTCTATATATACTGTTTATGATTCGGAATTTTGATAGCGTGATTTAGGTTTCGGTGTGTTTCGCTTGCAGCGCAACAACAGCGCCGCCACATCACCCCCTGCTCTGACCGGAGGTCGATAGTGTAGCCTCATTGCCAACGAATGTGCAAGTGCCAGGAGATTGCCTTGTAGTCTGCGGTGAGTCGAGAAGAAGGCAAGTAATCTGCGAGAGTGCCGTGAAGCAGAGGCGAGCAGTAAGGCTCAGAGCCGTGCCGAACACTGTATAGCAGAGAGTAGCTTGAAGTAACAGGAAGCATTATTATTCCAGTGCTGCGATGAACCTTGTGAATCATAGCTTGCAGGATATGAAGACTGCAGACGATATCTGCTCGGGAGCGAATGGGTGGGGTATTTTATGACGATGATGAAGCTTGAAGTTTCCGAAGGTTGTTGTTGGTTGCGCGTTCAGATCACGTCGGGTGGTCACCACTGTGGCAGTGGAAGGAAAAGGGGAGATCTCTCGTCGGGCAAGGTGTTCTGCCCGGGGAGCGGCCAACACTCCGTGTGATAGTTCGGAGATGTTCTATATATACTGTTTATGATTCGGAATTTTGATAGCGTGATTTAGGTTTCGGTGTGTTTCGCTTGCAGCGCGACGACAGCGCCGCCACAGTACAATACGTATTGTAGTACAGCCATGCGACAGCTATATTATGGTAGTAGCACGAATACACTCTCACAGAATACCGACGTAAACTCTCGAAAAATATTCTTACATACAATTTAAGCTCTTAGTTAATTAAAGTTATGAAAATAGACACCTTAGGATTATAGTAAAGTTTGAAATTTTAACACGAGTTTTAATACAATATAAAACAAACAGACGAACATAGTTACATCTTTGTAATGAAAGCTTAACTTTCACAATGCTTGATGCGGAGTTGGTTGCAGCATACTTTCTGAAGTATCTCGCCTACTTCCACAATAACGTTGCTTGACTTGTTAAAAGTTAAGCTGACTTTAGAAGTTTTGTGAAAAATTCCATACACTTTTACTATTTTCAATTCGCTATTTTTCTCCTTTGAGAATTAACACAGAGTTTTAACAAAATTTTAATGATAATACATTTAAAAACGACTTAATACATTTAAAACTAAATTTATCTTAGCCATGAGATCAACAAAGAAAGAAAGAAACAAAGACGGAGCGCTTCGTATATTTTAATTGAATTGTAAAACTGTAAATTTCATACAAAAAGCGATAACCTTTTCCCCTCACAGTAAACAAAGTACAATTTTCATAATTTTTGGATATTTTGTAGATATAATGAAAAACCAGGTTATTACCATATTTTTATAGAATAAGGGAGACAAACGAGCACACATTCCATGATGATAAGTGGATGCTGTGGCCCATAGACATCTACATTTATCCTCTATTAAGAATCAAAACGTAGATGCATTGTCACCCCTGAGGACTAAAATGGAATGCCTCGTTTCTAGTAAAGGAGGGTTTCCAGATCTCTACACTCACCAAGCGAAACACAGTAGTATTAAGCGGCTATTTTACGCTGGTGTTCTGTGAGAGCGTGGTGCTTCCCCGAGCCGACCCATTCGTGCTACAACCATAATATAGCTGCAGCGTGGCTCTACCACGTATAGTAACCATCTAAATATTATAGATATATATGACTCTATTTGTCAATGAATATTTAGATAAAAATAGAAAGTAGAAAGATGAGCATAGTTTCGACATCCCTTGACATATAGGTGGCGCCACGTTTATCTTCCTTTGTGAGTTTTAGGTATGGAAAAACTTGAGAGCGAATTTAAAGACTCAGAACATTATAATGATGCATTTGGTACTAAAAAAACAATAGATTTGCAGGAAGGTTTATCATATATTTTTTTCTTTTTACTAGATAGAAGAACTTCCTTTCTACCTAGTAGTTTTTCCAGTCTGGTCTGTCTGCAACTCCCCCTTAGCTAATCATACGGCCAAATAGCAGGGCATGTTGTGTTCCAGTCTGAAGGGTACAGGTAATCAGTATAATTACGGGCTGCGAGCTGTAAGCTAAGTATTCTATCTTAGTCTCCTTAGAGGTGACAACGCAGCCTTATTTATTTGTAATTATTTGCTTTTGAACAATTTGCTTCACCTTGCACAATACGTACAGCTAAGGAGTGGGAAAATCTGCTGGCGTCTTTCTTTCCATCCAATTACAATCTAGGTATCTTCAAGACAAGAGTCTATAGGTTTACATTACGACAGTGCGATTTACCATCTAGGGCCCCATTACCGCTTACAGTAAGGTAGAATTGTAGTGAAAGGCTAGCTATTTTTTATTGTAATTAAAAAAATCACTGCACGTATCCATTGACTTCGATAGATCATGGAATACAGTTCTTTTGACATTTTAATTTTATGAACCGTAATCTGATGAAAAACTAACAATTAAAAAAGGAAGGAAAACACTTCTCAAAAATTATGACAATTGCATACACTAATCTATTGTTGCTACCGAAAATAGGATTTCATCATCATCGTCATAAGTCCACTACTGAGCATAGGTCTCCCCAAGTAATGTCACAAAGTCTTAGGGATATAATAATAAAATAAGTATATATTATATTGATATAAAAATAACTGTAACTTCTGTAGAAACTTTGTCCAGAGAATCAGGATTATTATAGTCAGAAAATATAATTACAAGCAATAAGTACACATCTTAAAAACTACAATTTTAATAAGAAAATTAATTCGATTCCAAAGAACTAAACGCAAATATATATTTTTCAAGCTATAGCTTCGGAAGTCGGTGACTCCTCAAGCTTATAGGAAGAAATTATTTCATTAATTAGTTTACTTTTTTTTAAGTTTAATTTTTTCACTCTTTAGAATATAAGTCTTTAGGTCTAAGGAATGTCACAGGCTCAAGATTACAACTAGAATTTCATCTAAATAATTATGTTAATAATTTGATCCCCTATATTTCCAAACCTTAGGGGCTCACCTTTGAAATACACCTACTTATTCAATGAAAATAATAAATGAATAACTCCGAATAGATTGTTTTAATTAAATATCCACACAATAAAAAAGATTTAATAAAAAAAGATTTAATAAAAAAGAATAATTTAAATCGGTTCCATCACTTTGATCATCAAACACATCAATTGATGATTAAAACGCGTAAATATTAAAACACAAAAAGGGTATACAGTCGAATTGAGAACCAACTCCTTGTTTGAAGTCGGCTTAAACATACGATTATTTTGATCAACTTCTAAATACAACGCAAAACACATTCCTTACTTTATTATGACACGAATAAAATATTTTGTTTCTCTGTGTTGGTAATTAGCGAAGGTCTTGAGTTAAAGGTGCGCTCGAGGAAAATAATTTTACTTTGTTATTTCGACCCCCTGGGGGTGTAATTGGTAGGCCCTCGTATCCCCAGGCACCTCCAGCGGTTTAGCACCGGTGTAGATTCAGAAATTGGACTGCTTTATTTTTAACGAGAATCAATTTGTTTTCGCTCGTAGGAGGGTTGGTGAGATCGTTATTGCTGCTTCAAATAAAACATTGTTTTCTTTGACAGGTTCTACGACTGTTTCCCGTTCCACGCCAATGCTCTCGACTGTGTTTCTCATGTTAACAAAGGTACGTATTTCATATTTTATTATTATTCATTTTAAATTGCGTTACAGCAACAACTGTCAATTAATTTAGCATATTATAACAGTAAAGCTGACATTTTAATTTGAACTTCATTTTAAATTGGACGAATCGTGCTATGACGGATCAATCGATTCACATACTACCTAATGTAAAAATACTAAAATATTTTTTTTAAATATTTGAATAAAAAATCATAAATAAAAATCACCTACCGCTTTTAGCGAAGCGGGTCACAAAGAGAATTATGAATGTATTTGAAATTCTTTATTCAAAATTAATACCACATATACCTTCATAATTCTTTTTTCAAATGAAACAACATCGAGCTTCTGAAAACGAGTGAATCATATAAGCAAATACATAGATTTTAGTGGAAACGCCACCCATTCCCGACGGAATGGTGATTGCAGCACCATACATCATGCGCCAATGACTCTGCTCCCAGCCGCTGGTTTGCGTATATTACGTGTGGCGAAAAACGTGATGTTTGTTCTGCCATCTATTAGAAGCTGTAAGGTTTTTCCTGGAAATTCCTATATTTGAATTTAAAGATGCTCATGGAACGAAATGGGATAATTCATTGTCTTCTGACGTTATCATACGTAAGAGGTCATAATATTATTAATCGTGTGGCATCCATCACCTCATAATTCTTATATTTACGCGAACACTACACATTGATTATAATAATAGTATTCCACAACTATCACACAACGCCATCTAGTCCCAAGCTAAGCAGAGCTTGTGTTATGGGTACTAGACAACTGATAAACATACTTATATATTTCTAAATACATAAATATTATAGATAAATTACACCCAGACACAGAACAAATGATCGTGCTCATCACACAAACATTTGTCCTGGGTGGGAATCGAACCCACGACCTCCGGCATAGCAGTCAGGGTCACTAACCACTAGACCAACAGGCCTGTCAAATAAAACTATTAAAACTACTTTTACGGATTTTATCGCGTTTATTTTACTTTTAATTACTTTTATTTTTATTTTTAATTCCCGACGTTTCGGGCGCTTTCCAGCACAGTGACCATGGGGGTCACGGGGGACTGAGATGACTGACGTCCCGTGAACAATGACATCGGGTAAAACTAGTTTTAATCAATCCATCACCTCATTATCTTTGGGTGTAGCGAAAGGCTAAAGGAAAGCCCATTATATTTTAATAGCCTCCGGTATATACCATCATAATATATTCCCTCATATGACGGAATAACCAACTCGTACTTATAACAAACTTAAAATGCACCAACAGGCGACGGGAAGCTGGGTAAATCTATACTCGGGTACCTTAACAGCAGCCCGTGTCCAGCAACAAACTGCGTAGCTCATAACGTGATAAAGATACATATTTATATTACGTAAATGATACACATAAATAAACAGACGTCTATTTTTTAGAATGCAGACATTAATGTTTGTCACATAAACAATAACGTTGTAGAGCCACGCTGCAGCTATATTATGGATGTAGCACGTATCGATCGACTCGACCGTGTTAGGACCACGCTCTCACAGAATACCAGTGTAAAATAGCAGCTTAATGCTGCTGTGTTTCGTATGGTGAGTGTAGAGAATCGGAGACCCTTTTTTACTGTAAACGAGGCGTTTCATCTTAGTCCTCACGGGTGCCAACGCATCTGCATTCTGATTCGTAATCGAGGATGTGGATGTCTATGGGCCACAGCAACCGCTTACCATCAGGTGAACTGTGTGCTCGTTTGCATCCTATCCTATAAAAAAAAGATGGCAGAACAAACATCACGTTTGTCGTCACGTCTTCAGGTGTGATAACGCATCTGTATTTTGATTCTTAATCTATGATAAATGTAAATGTCTATGGACCATAGCATCAACTTTCCATCAGGTGGACCGTGTGCTCGCTTGTCACCCTCATGCTATAAAATAAACCACTACTACGGTGCCAGCTTTATCAGCAAAGGTAGACGTACCACTAATTCTAGTTGGTGGTTAATATTTAAAAATAATTTCTTACAAAATAAAAGGGCAACATAAATTCTTTTCATGCGTAATGCAAATAAACATTCTTTTTAATGGGTTTTGCGCGCAGAAGCCATAAAAATATCAGACGGTAAAAACTATTAATAGCGCCGCAGCTCGGCTGTCTGAAAAATAACTAGAGCTCTCCATAATGGGAGAAGTAATAAATATAAAGGTTAGTTTCTTCTAGCAACTAAGTAACTGTGAAAGGAAAAGAAACTAAATTGTATTTAAGCTAAAAAGTAAGTTTCCTGTTTATGTACAAATTCTGTACTTTTAATAAAGAATATTAAAATGATATAAACATTACTAATATTCCCCTTATCACTCCATCTTCCCCTTTATTCGGATAAAATTAATAAGTATAAACAACAAACTTGAACTCCTTCCTGTCACCGAGAGTACCTGCAATTTCCGTGAACGAGTTAATTACGGTTAACCCATTAGGTCAATTGAAACAACTGGTACTCCTTTACGTTTGCGGCTCCGGGCTTAAATGAGAAGGCGGTGTTTCTTGATACCGCCTGCATCGTCCGCCAATTTCTTTTTCTTTCCCCCTAATGCTAAAGGATTTCATTTGTCTGTTTTATTTTATCACAATATATTCATCTTTTATTTACATTATGCTTCAAAATATATTTTATTTTATTAACCACTTTTATGTAAATACTTATTTATGCTAAATTATTTTTAACTGTTTTTGTTTAATTTGCTTATTTTTCATAGATCATGATGAAACTGAGATGTTTGAATTTCTGATGTTGGGCTATAGCTTTAACTTTATGAATAATTTTGCTAACCGCGTAGTGGCGGTGTAAGAATATCCACTATACCTTATCGTCCCAACCATAGAATACTATAATACATACATAATAGAACTGGGGAGTGGGCGGAGCCCGCGTAACCACTAAAATGTCACTAACACGTCAATTCACACGTATAAATGTCAACACGAGATGTGTTTTGACGTTATAATCGTTTCCAAATTTCGCATACAAATTATTTAGAAAATGCCAAATTGCACCTTATTTGCAAATAAATATGTATTAAAATCCATCTGTCAACGCAGCGAAACAGGTTTGTAGTAGTGATTTACTGATAATACGACGTAATTGCTTGTATGTGTGCTCCCGGCGACGCCTATCGTTGTACAAAATAAGGTTGACAGCCGTTCTACTGTGTATTATAGTATTCTATGGTCCCAAAGGTGTCGCAAGAGGCGGCAGGGGGAAAATAAAACAGGAGATGAGTACCAGCATCTCTCTGATAACATCTCAAAATAATAAAAAACTGCGGTTATCAACCCGCTTACCAAGCGTGGCAACTATGGCGAAATCCGTCCATGAGGCAATTATGAGGCAGACCCATATTTAGCAGTGGACTTTTATAGGCTGTAATGAATGGATTGGTAATTTTAACTAATCACCCTGTAGTGTCAGCTTGAGAATATAACCCATATCGTCCCAAGAATGTCGTGAAGGCGACAGAGGAAATCAAACCTGGAGATATATAGCGACGTCTTCCTTAAAACAATAAGAAAATAAAAAATCGCGGTTGCAAAGCGTAATAATTAAGACATAAATTCTCCCTATGAAGCTGTCACATCCTGTGGGGCATGTGAGAAACCTATTTTTTTATAGAATAAAGGTGTCAAACGAGCACACAGTCCACCTGATGGTATATGGTTATATAATGCGTTGTCAGTTGTCACCCCTGAGGACTAAGACGGAATGCCTCACAGTCTCTAATCATTCTGACTCTTTATATCCTTCAGACCTAGAATACAGCAGTGCAAGAACTGCTGCTTGGCGACAGTAATAGGTAAGGGGAAGGTACCAAAATGGACTGCTAGGCAGATAATAGTCCTACCATCTACCTGCTTAGTAGTTATACGAAAAGGGCACTACTTTAATTTCTTTTTTTATAGGCTAAGTTTGACAAACAAACACACAGTACACCTGATGGTAAGTGGATGCTGTGACCCATAGACATCTATATTTATCCTCGATTAAGAATCAAAACGCAGATGCCTTGTCACCCCTGAGGACTAAGATGGAAAGCCACATTTCGATTAAAAAAGGGTCTCCGGTTCTCTACACTCACCATACGAAACACAGCAGTATTAAACTGCTATTTTACGCTGGTATTCTGTGAGAGCGTGGTCCTTCGCCGGTCCAGCCGACCCATTCATGCTACAACTGTTATATAGCTGCAGCGTGGCTCTACCACGTATGAACCAATGTTTATCAGTGGACTTTTGATAACATGTAATGATGATCGTTGTGATTAACAATGATGATGATGTTGTGACTCTAATCTGGCTTACATCGATTTAACTTCCATTTTTACATTTACTTGTCCAGCTTTTTAGTTTTAACTGTCCACGAGTTTAGCTTTACCTGTCCAGTAGTCGATTATTTATGTTATTAAGTATATTTTTTTTTTTTTTTTTTTTTATAGAAGAGGGGGCAAACGAGCATGTGGCTCACCTGATGTTAAGTGACTACCACCGCCCATGATCAACCGCAACACCAGGGGAATTGCAGGTGCGTTGCCGGCCCTTTAGAAAGGAGTAAGCTCTTTTCTTGAAGGTCCCCAGGTCGTATCGGTCCGGAAAAATCACCGGTGGTAAATTATTCCACAGAGAGGTTGTACGCGGAAGAAAACTCCTTTTGAAACGTACAGTGGTGGACCGCCAAGCATCCAGATGGTGTGGATGGTATCGGGACGTTTGCCGTGTAGTGCGTTCACGAAATTTGGCGGCTGGGATTAATCCGAACAATTCCTCAGAGCACTCCCCGTGATAGATGCGATAAAATACGCAAAGAGATGCAACATCTCTTCGCAGCGCCAGTGAATCGAGCCGATCGGAAAGCACTCGGTCGTCGACGATTCGAGCCGCTCTGCGCTGGATGCGGTCAAGTGGAAGGAGCTGGTACTGGGGAGCCCCAGCCCAGAGATG